TCTCTATCATTGACTTCTGTCCTTCCTTGAGCTTTGTAAAAAGATTTCCTACTCTTAGGGCACAACTTGTGCTTTAGAGAATGGATAAATGAAAGCTTTTGGAAGGTCTCAGAGCCATGAAGCTGGCTTTTCTCCCACGTCTGCACGTCTTGTTCTGTCCTCTCCATACCTTTTGGGACATGAGACCCTCTACTTCACTGTACAGTCCTCCATGCTAAATCTAACAGATCCTGATTGGAACATTGACGTAGGACTCTTAGGGCAAACTGCTCAGTCAGTCCACTTGTGATATGAGACTCCCCTCTCTATGCCTCTGAGGGCTTGCTTGTTGGATTTTCTGTTCTTCCCAGTTCCCATAGCCTGTAAGCCCCAAAGAAATTGCACAGAGGTCTATATTAATTATAAACTGATTGGCCCATTAGCTCAGGCTACTTATTAACTCTTATCATTTATATTAACTCATTATTCTTACCTATGTCACCCACATGGCTCAGTACCTTTTCCAGTGGGCAGGTCATATCCTGCTTCTTTGGTGTCTGGACAGGACTGCATAAAAAGTTTCCCTATGCCCAGAATTCTCCAGTTCTCATTTCCCCTCCTCTACTTCCTATCTGGTTGTCCCACCTATCCATGATGCCTAGCTACTGACCAATCAGCATTTATTTAAAACATAATTAACAGAATACAGAATTGTTCTGTACCATGATGTGATTATCATTAATGAATAAAGAAACTGCTTTGGGTCTATAGCAGGTCAGAACACAGGAAGATAGGAAAAACTAAACTGAATGCTGGGAGAAAGGAGGCAAAGTCAAGGAGAAGCCATGTAGCCTACCAGAGACAGATGCTGAAACTTTAGCCGGTAAGTCACAGCCACGCGGTGATATATAGATTAATAGAAATGGGTTAAATTAGTATGTAAGAGCTAGTTAATAAGAAGCAAGAACTAATGGACCAAGCAGTGATTTAATTAATACAGTTTCTATGTGATTATTTTGGGTCTGAGCTGCTGGGTGGCCAGGAAACAAGCAAGTAGTCTTCTCCCATCAAATTGCAGATATGCAATAAAGACAAATTCAGATGGAAAAGACCTCTAAATGGCTCACAGTGTTGGATTGATGTACATAGGCTTGGGAGAGTGAAGAAAAAAAATATAGACAATTGTAAAAAGAAGACAATGTTTTTTAAAAGTAAAGTCTTTAAGAAGACAGAGTATAGACAGTCAGAGACTAAAGGAATAAAGATAATAAAATAAATATTAAAAAGTAATAGAACAAAAACAAGCCATGTAAAGATGAAATATGCACAGAGAGTCTGGATTATGTACACTATTGTGGTTTCTTTGAATTTTTTGACTGCAGAGAGACATTTGATTCTGAGGATTGCTAAGCTAAACCAACTTATATATTTGAAAGGTATCTTAATTTCAAAATATGGATCTAGGGATTTGTTGCTTTAGAAAAGAGGTTCTTCTTTTGTTTCCACAGAGGATGAAAACCTGTGGATTCATTCCAGGCTAAGGTGGTTTGATGGACCAAGAGCCCCTAAAACGTCACCTTGAACACTCCTCAAAAAATTACTTAACCCAAGAAATAGCAGAAAGCAGTTTGGAGAAGAACTACGCCAATATCCCCTAATATTGTTTACAATTTTTTTTACATTTAAAGAGGGAGATAATATAGAGATTTGCATTAATATGGATCTTGCTTTATTGATACAAATTTAAGGTCAATTTTGTTATATGTATATTTCTGATCTTGATTAAGCTATTGTGTTTGTCCAGCTCATTTAAAAATGTAATGTATAATTTAAAAATTATACGTTAATAGAGAGTCATCTAAAATAGTCTAGCTGTAGTTATGATAGTTAGGTTTTCTAGATGTATAGAGATGTATTTCAAATACATAGATATTCTTGAAACCTTTCAAAGACTATAGAATATGCCATATAAAATGTTTTAAGAACTTAGAACTTTTCATGACAATGAGACACATATGCTCCTGGCAGCACCAATTGCTTCAAGAGGAAAATGGGCATCAAAGAGACTCTTTATGGAGCTTGTTAGCCAATTAGGTAAGAAACTTCTCTTGGCTGTACTGCTTTCTGGTATGTTGTGTGAACTGGATATGCAGGACCCACAGAGAGATGACTGCTGAACTTGCCTAAAAGTGAGACCATTCTTCAGGGTTCCTGCTTCATGAAAGAGTCTGCTGGACATTCTGAAGGACACAGAAGAAAGTGACTGACATGGTGCCAATATAGGTGGAACTGTCTTTGAAATTTCCTGCTTCATGGAAAAGTCTGCCAGATACTATGGGCCGGGAGGCTGAATATGGATGCCCCAATGTTACAGGAGACTTTGGGTGACTGTCCAGGTAGTGAGATGTCTCTGTCAGTTCCAGAGTTTTGGAAGTTGCTTATGATGAACTTATTGTTTACTTAGGTAATATTATACCCTTCTAGAGTCTTTCATGGAGTAGAAGAATTTATAGCTATAGTTATAGTTTTCCTCATTATGATAAAAGATAAAGTAGATATAAATATCATGACTGTCATTCTTGCTTATTATGGTGTTTTGTATACGTAAGTTTACCATGTTAAAGCTAAAACCTTCCTTTTTATTTTAATAGAAAAAGGGAGGTGATATGGGACTCTCCTCTGTATTCTGTGAATACCACTGGTTAATAAAGAAACTACTTTGGACCTATGGCAGGGCAGATCAGAGGTAAGCGGGGGAAACTACACTGAATGCTGGGAAACAGGAGCTGGAGTCAAGTCATGAAGCCCTGCCGGAGACCGATGCTGGAACCTTACCAGTAAGCCACAGCCAAATGGTGATACACAGATTAACAGAAATGGGTTAAATTAATATGTGAGCGTTAGCCTATGAGAAGCTAGAGCTAATGGGCCAAGCAGTGATTTAACTAATATAGTTTTTCTCTGATTATTTTGGGTCTGAGCTGCTGGGCAGCTGGGAAACAAACGAGTGCCCTTTCTTCAACACTCGTGCGATGCTTGCTTGACTAACAGTCCTATTGTCTATAGCGTTCACGCCTTCTGTTCTTAGCTGGTCTCAGGACAAGCTAATGACTTGGTGTTTGATCCACTGAGGCTGTACTGTTTTTAGAGGCTCAGTGACTGAAGGGTCTGGACTATGTGCACATGACTGTGCACAAGCCTGAGCCATTTAGGAAGAAAAACCTCAGTTGAGAAATTGCCCCAACTAGATCAGCCTGAGGTGCATTTTCTAGATTAGTGGGAATGTGGGAGTGCTCAGCTCAGGGTGGTTTGGGCCAGGACTGGTGGTCCTGGGTATTGTTAGAAACCAAGCTGAGAAAGCTTTGGGGAACCAGCCAGTAAGCAGCATTCCTCCGTGGTCTCTGCATGAGCTCCTGCCCTGCCCTCCGCAGTGAAGAACTGTATCGTGGGGGTCTAAACCACAACAAATTCCTTCCTCCACAAGGTTCTTTTTGTCGTTTTATGTTATTCCAAGAGTAGAAACTCTAACAAAGACTCTGACCAGACAGGGATGCTCCAGGATTGGAGACTAGAGAGCAGTGTGATGGCATCCAGAGCTGATTACCAGGGAAAGTTAAGATGAGTGTTTAAGGACCAGACATGAGGTGCTGTGGTCCTAACAGAAAGGCACACAGATGCAGTCCTCAGAGAAGACTCTGTGTTGGAGGACTTGACACAGAAGCAGCTCCTTCAGAGCAAAAGGCCAGTTTGAGCCCTTAAAGGTCAGGCCAGAAAGTGGTAGAAGAAATAGATACAGGAAACATGGCTTCACATCTGGTAGAAGGTGCCTGGTTTACTTTGAGCTGGAAATAGAGAGTCAGTTGGGCACATCTCTAGAGCCAGGAGCCAGATACAAACTCACACACTTCTCTAGAGGTTCTGAGTATTGCTTGCTGGGAAATTGGGCAAGAAATCCTGTCTCAGTTCAGTCAGGGGCAGCTATGGAGATTACAACTCAAGATGGCTCTGCTCATGTGTGCTTGAATCTGTGCAGCCAGGACAGGGGCCTTTTGTGGAAAAGTCAATTCCTCTCCAATCATGCTGGGACTTAGGCATCTGGGGTCTCGAGCGCCATCACCTTGTTTTCCTGTGAGGTCAGCCTTCCTGTTTGTAGTTGGCCCTGTTTTTCCCAGTCAGGCACTGTAAAGGAAGACACCGGCTCACCCTGTCCTCTCCTTAGCCTCCCCTGCAATCCTAGAGACAGGGAGAGCAACTTTGTTTTCTGAAGAGAGATTCTAGCTGAGGACCCTGAGGAGGACACCTGAGCTCAGTGTCCTATATCCTTGTAAATGTGACCTAAGTCCATGTGATGATCAGCAACAAAACCCTAGTGTGTTCACAAAACCTGCATTTGTGGACATGAACTGCGTGAGGCAGAAGCCCAAGCTGAACCAGAGATTTGACTGTAGTGGACATTGGTAAGGAAATGTAATGTGGGATTCTTCCCTGCATGCTATGAATATGTTTTATTACCATTGGTTAATAAATAAGCTGTTTGTCTCAGTAGGTGGGAAACCTCAACTGAACAGAGGGAGAAAGCAGGCAGTTTCGTGCCCATGCCATGTTGTTGCTGAAGGAGGAAGATGCTGGAACCTTGCCAATAAGCTACAGCCTCGTGGGGATACCGAGATTAATAGAAATGAGTTAATTTAAGATGTAAGAGGTAGCTAGGAATATGCCTGAACTATTGGTCAAACAGTGTTGCAATTAATACAGTTCCTGTATTATTCATGTCAGGGGGGCTGGAAATGAAAGGACAGTCTACATTTACAGAAATGTGCACGTATTCCCATATGAGTAAAAGATACAAAGATCATAAGACAACGGAGGTGGGTTACTGAGTAGACAGTGGTGGTTTCCTCGGCAGCAAGTTAGGGAATATCAAAGGCCGTTAAATTTCACATGAATAAACAGGTGAAAGAGCAGAGAAATGAGGCGTGAATAAATATCAAGACAGGCAGTCCGCAAAGAACCAAGTGTGGACTTCCTGTTAGAAGCCTGCATTCCTCTGTGTCTCCTGAGTCCTGTGTGTCTACTTTGTCCTCTGTGAATAGGAGCCAGGTTCACTCTGTCCCAGACTGTTTGTGCCTGTCCTTTGAAAGCCATGTGGCTCTACCTGGTGGCTTTAGTGGGCCTGTGGACCCTCCTGCGCTTGATCAGGGAGAGACAGGTGGTGAGCCATCTCCCAGACAAGCATGTCTTCATCACGGGCTGTGACTCGGGCTTTGGGAACCTGCTGGCCAGACAGCTGGACAGGAGAGGCATGAGGGTGCTGGCTGCATGTCTCACAGAAAAGGGAGCCGAGGAACTGAGGAACAAGACATCAGACAGGCTGGAGACAGTGATCCTTGATGTCACCAAGACAGAGAGTATTGTGGCAGCCACTCAGTGGGTGAAGGAGCATGTTGGGAACAGAGGTACCATTGAGATCCCTGTCTGTGTCTGCTGGCTTGTTGGCTGCGTGAAGGGAATGTCTGCTTTGCCCGCAATGATTTCCGATGTGGGTGGGGGTGGAATTGAAGTGACTGCAGACTCTGGCCATCCCCAGCTTGTCAGCCCTTCCTCTTCCTCCTACACCCAGTCCTTCACGCTCTCTACTCTTTGTCAGCTGGTGTCCTGTGTGATTCCACGTCCTCACTCCTGTCTGCCCTCTTCTGCCACTGTTTGGAGGGAGACTGGACTCTTGGCTGCTGAGTGCCACATTAGAGAGAGTGAGACAGAAGAGTGCTGGTCCCTGGCACTGTGGGAAGTTGGCTGGTCCTGTGACAGATGCTTCTTCTCTCTCAGTACTGGAACCTGGTCTCCCCTTCCACCTGGGAATCCTTATGGAAGTCAAAGTCATTGCCATGACTAAGAGCACACCAACACTGGAGGAATACCTTAGGAAAGAAAGCCTAGGAAGGGCTCTCGCGTTCTCTCTCTCTCTCTCTCTCTCTCTCTCTCTCTCTCTCTCTCTCTCTGTCTGTCTGTCTTCAGAGGGTAAAGACATGCTTTTGAGCCAAGGAGAGATATGACATACTGGGTGAGTTTTGAAATCAGCAAATACCGTTCTTAGTCTCAATCAAGCAGTCTTCAATGCACCCTGCACAGCTAGTGACAGTGTAGATGTGGTGTTAGTTGTAAGCCTTTCTGACTAGTTACTTGAATATCCAGGACCTAAAGACCAGAGCGGATGAGGAAGGGAAGCCTGCAGAGCACCATATTTTGAGGTTGAGAGAGCAAGTTCAGTCCTTTTGGTGATCTGCAAGCATTGTCACCTCCCTTATCCTCTCCCTGGGTTTTGCAAGCATCTGAGGAGAGCTGCTCAATATTGTTGCCGGACCCTGCAAGGTCCAGCTTCATAAAAGCCCTGAACATAACACGGTTTTCCAAAATCTCCCAATCACATTTGTTTGTTTCTGAACCTATTTCACCCAGACGTTAATTTTCTCTTTACTATTTTTCTGCGTTGTATTTTCCTCTGTTCCTCTCTCCCTCATGCTTCCTTATCGCTGTCTTCCTTTGCCATTTGAAAGACAAAGACAGTATTGTGCAGTGTGTCTCACTATTTGATTTATGAAAAGGGATATCATGACCATGGTAATTTTTTTTCCATGACAGTTTTCTCCA